TATTACATAAACAACATTATTTTTAAGACAATGAAATAAGGTTTCTTAAAAATTTTTTATAAATAATATTTTTATTGTGATTCTTAAATAGTTTGATTATCTGGAGTAACCTTAATCTTTTTACTTATTATTTGGACTCTTGTATATATATGTATATATAGTAAAAATATATTTATATAAACAAATGTAAAATTATAGATTGCCACAAGTATCTTCTACATTTTCTTGGCAAAGGCAATATTTTGGCACAATAACGGAAGAAAAGAAACCAGATGTACCTCCTATGTCAAAGGCAACAAAGAATGAAAAGAAACTGCAAAGTGAACTGGAGCTTATTAACAAAGAATTAGCTGAACTTAAGGAGTCTAAAGACGTATTGGAAGATAAATATAAGAGAGCATTGGCAGAAGGAGAAAATATCAGAGTCAGACTCACCAAGCAGATTAACGATGCCAAGCTTTTTGGTATTCAAGGCTTCTGCAAGGATCTTTTAGATGTAGCCGACATATTGGGAAAAGCTACTGAAAGTGTACCAAAAAATGAAATAACAGAGCAAAATCCACATTTGAAAAGTTTATATGAAGGTTTAGTCATGACAGAAGCTCAGTTACATAAAGTAAGATATATCTTTATTTTAATGAGAAATATAAATAATGTAATTTCAAGTGAGAATATTAAATTTTTTTTTTCTTAATTTAGGTTTTCAAGAAACATGGTTTAGTTTCACTGAATCCGGTAAATGAAAAGTTTGATCCTAATGAACATGAAGCATTATTTCAACAAGTAAGATTCATATAATAAATAAAGGTATAAATTGATAACTTTTGTGAGTAACGAATATCATTTTCAGGAAGTTGAGGGCAAGGACTCTGGCACAATTGTAGTTGTATCGAAAGTAGGATATAAATTGCACGAAAGAATAGTGAGACCAGCATTAGTAGGTGTTGCTAAGGGATAACTAATGTAAAGGTAGATAGAGCATCCATTTTATTATAAATTGTAAAATCCTATAAAGTTCAGTATAAAATATTGATGTACATTGTAATTTCCTTTTAAATTTTTATTTAAAATATAAAGTAGGAACCAATCTGTTAATATAAAGTGTAAAAGTAGCAAAAAAAAAATATATATGCTACTTTCATATAAAGATTTGTAGCATTACTATATCAATATATATAGAAATTCTCTTTTTTAAATATATACGTTGTTTTCCATTACGCATATACAATTTAATTTTTTACAAGGAGCTTATAAAAAAAAGCGATAAAATCTAGACAAAAATAATGATATATATTCATCTTCAGTTTGTAACATATCTTGACATAAAAAAACCGATATCATAAGAATATGATAAATCATAACTGTACAAATCTATATAATATTAAACATTTGCTATCAAATTTGAGTTTGTTAATCAATCCTCGTATAAGAAAAAGTATAATACATTTTTATATATTCATAATTTAACATCTCTCAAATACTTTGTACAAATCCGGTAAACTGGCTATTTGTAATATCGTTGAATCGTGAGCGAAGTGTTTTGGTGGAAGTAAACTTTCTTTAATTGCCGGATACAAAACATGTTCAGTTACATATTTCCAGTCATGTGTCTGATGCTTCGGATTGATGTAACTATAAAATTTTGCCGTTTCCCGGCAAATATTTTGAAAGCATAATTGTTCCTTTCTCCAGTCAACTTCCGTTGCTAATCGCATTATATACAATGGAATTTCCGCTTCGTATGGAAAATATTTATCTAAAATATTATTAACATATATGCAATTTATTCTTGTGATAATATAACAGTGTATTCGATGTTACATTATATTTACCTAATAATACAGGCAACGATCTTAAATTTCCTATTTTATCCATAACAACCGAAAAATATTCGTTCATCATGTCTGCCTTTTCTAAAAGTAACTCTTTCACTCTCGCTGCCAATTCTTCCTTTGGTCCGTCCTCCTCTGTCCATCCAGTTTCTCCCGAATCTAAAGCAATCATTGCTAAATCGAACAATGATATTCGTTCCTAAAAAATAAATTCACACGTGCAATATTAAATGGCTATAAAATAAACTTAATTTGTTGTATCTGAAATACGTACTGAAAATTTGATAATGCCAAAGTTTGCAAAATCATAAAGCATGATTTCATAAAAAAGCTCCTCCCTGAAAAAATATTACATTTTAAGATATGAATAAATTTATATTACATTTTTATTATGCAAAATAATAAAAATTACGTTAATTTTCTAGTATTGCATATATATAAATTCACTCCACTCTGTATCAAAGCCGAAGTTTGATCGATGCAACCAACAAATGTTAAATTAGCTAGAATGTCTCGTAATCCTTCGTGACATTCATCTTCAACATCCTTACGTAATTTTAGGATACTGGTTAATTTTACTTCATGTTTAAAGTTATTCACAGAATATGATTTAAATTGCTGTGTAAATTTCGAAGATTCATCAGCAGAAGTATTTGTCTCAGCAGATGATTTTTCAGATTGACTTACATTACATATTGAACTTTCACCTTCTTTCTGATTATCGTCTGTATTCAATGTCTGTTCTTTTTCTTTTTCTGAATTTTTCTTTATATTTTCGATAAAGTTCCTATTTCCGAAATACTGATATACTTGCTTACGAGCCCTATCAGCTATAGCATCTACAGGCTTATCTTTAGGATCATCTACTTCCTCATCTGAATCTCGTAGAAATTCTGAGATGTCAAACGTGAGATTCTCTGAACGGACGTTTTCCAATTTGTCTTGTTGTGCAGAGTTATATGGATCGCAAGTGTTTTGCGAGTCCAATGAAGATTTGGTATCTAATATATCACTCCAATCTAAATTTCGTGTTAAATTATTATCAGTTAGAGTCTTTTCGGTAGGTAATAATGTAGAATTGTGTTCTGCGATATTTAAATTCGAATCTTTCTCTTGACATTTATTGTCAGCAGATGGATTTTTCATAATAACATTAGGTACACTTTCTCCTAAATTTTCAGAATTAAGGGACTTAGGATCATTATGTGTTAATTCTTTCGTTAGAGTATTACTATCACTCTTACGTTGTTCGAAATGTATGGTAAAATTAAATTTGTCAAGTTTTTGATCAGACGAATCTGTCCTAATCATCTCCCTAGCGTGAATCTTTTTTAATTTATCTGAATTTCCTTTGTTATACTCGGGTAACACTTCTTCTAAGACTTCTTTAGTAATGTCTGCTTTCGGTAATCTGGCTTGTAAATAAAACGTTCTAGACGCGCTGTTTCCAGTCAATCTTTCATCTAACGCGAATTTTATTCTTTCAACTATCGTATCTTCGTGAAGAAATCGAACTTCGTGTTTTGTCGGATGTACATTAACATCTATATTCTGTGGATTAATATCCAAAGATATGTAACACCACGGATGAGCTTTTTTCGGGAGATATACAGAATACACGTCTTCTAACATTTTACGGATTGCTGCAAATAAATGTTCATAAACATTAAAATTTTGACAAAGAAATTAGAATATATATAAATACATAGATAAAAATTGAATATGCAACGTTAAACTTACAAGCAGAATCGACCAATCGATTGTTGATAAATAGCAACATCACCATTCGCTTATTTGTATAATTTGGATTTGTCACTAAACCGTGCATCTTAAATTTATAATCCTTGTCATCAAGCTCAACTTCTAATAGTTCACGAGCAACAGGATTGCCATACAATAATCTTATGTTATTCTGTTTGGTGGAATTATATGGCGTTCGAACCTGAAATTGTATTTGAACATGCTTTCAAATATTCTATTTTTAAATTATATTGTATTTTTTATCATGCGTCTACAACATGTTGTTATATTGTATACAAAATGATTTATCTTACTTGTGAACTCGGCTCGCCGTGCTTTTTTAAAGTAAATCCTACTGCTGAATTATGTACAGCATATCTCATAACTACTTCTGTAATTTTGGTAAATTCCTCCGATGGATTTGACAAAGCCTTTCTACGAGTTGCCACATTGTAGAATAGATTTTCTATTGTTATTACAGTGCCCTGATTTCCAGCACAAGGCACTGGAGGTGCTTTTAGCTTGCTGTTAACATATGATGCTCTGTAATAATATGTGGCAAGTACATTAATTAATCTTTCTTTCTCTGTATGAAATTAAGTATTACATTGTCAATGAAATATGCATACTTATAGGCGCATTTTTCATCTGCCGTTTTTGTCGTAATAGTAAGAAGAGCTATGTGACTAATACTGGCCAGAGCTTCTCCTCGAAATCCAAATGTCGTAAGAGTACCGAGATCTTCGAATTTTTGCAACTTGCTTGTGGTAAATCTTTCACACACAATCTCCATATCTTCTTTTCGAATACCAGTACCATTATCTTGTATCTAAAGTTATAAATTAAGTTAGAGATACATTTGAATATAATTTAGATGTGTTTAATTAAAATATGTTTAATAATTGAAATTCTATTATGTACCTGTAATAGCTTTAAGCCTCCTTCTTTCGCTGTGATTTGTATGTTCGTTGCTTTAGCATCCAAACTGCAACATAAAAGTGAATTTCTTGTAAATAAAAGTGAATGTGCATGTAGTAGATGATAATTTTCAAAAACTAACCTATTCTCTATTAACTCCTTTAACGCATTTGCTGGTCTTTGGATTATTTCTCCAGCTGCGATTCTGTTCACCACGACTTCATCTAATTTTCTAATCTTTGCTGGTGTACACATGTTGCTTGATATTAATTATTAATTAATAGGAAGTGGCAAAAATAGCTTTCAACACTGTTCTTATATGTAAACATATAAAGCATAATCCAGGAACAAAATTCAATTTCGTAAATTGATAATCTAGTTAGAATTGTTATACAATAAGTTTTACGTTCAGTGAAAATTTTTTTAAAGAGTTCTTGAATAAATTTTCGACGAAAGATTCTTCATACACATATCACTGGCGCCCATTTTTAAATAAATAGGTTAAAAATTAACTCTGCAATATTACCAACAAATATAATTGATTATAATGGTTGATAAGTTTTCTGACGTCGATAATTGAGGGCGTTATTTTATCTATACGACAAAATTTATTTAAAATAAACTTTCAGCCGCAATAATTTAATTCTTATAAACTATATGTATGAAGCAAAGTATTAGACGCAAAAAGTAATATAATCAAAACTCTTCAAGATTTACAATTTTACAAATTCTTACTTCAAATCAGAAGTTCATTCTTGAAATATAGATTATTTGTTTTACATTGTTCATTTCATTTCTTTTTTCATTTCTTTTTTACTTCTCTCTTTTTTACTTCTTTTGTTTACTATTTTTACTCTCTTGTTTACATTTTACTATTTTTTTTCATTATAACTTCTTTTTATTTTCTATATTTTGCTCTTTTTGTCATTTTCAGGTTTAATTGTTTTATATATTATTTACATATACAGGGTGTCTCGAAAGTTTTTACCAATCACTTTGTGTAAATAGAGCAGACTAAACTGAATCGAAAAAACTCTACCATTTTGCAATTTTTTGGCAATAGTTAACAAGATATTAATTACTAAAAATTGTCAAATATTGGTCTTGAATAATTTTTTACTCAAATATTACAACTTTATACATAGAAAAGTTGCAAGAGACAAAAATCATTTTATTTTCTTCTCATAAAGCTCTGAGAATTTTTTCAGAATTTGTTAATATGTATTTTATACATAATTTTTTAATACGTATTTTCTCATGTTGATAAAAATAAGAAAATGCTATATTAAAAAGTTGATAAAAAATTCAGAAAAAATTCTCAGTTTTGTGAGAAGAAAATAAATGATTTTTGTCTTTTACAGTTTTTCTGTAAAATTAATAATATTTGAATAAAAAATTATTCAAGATCAATATTTGACAATTTTTAGTAATTAATATCTTGTTAATTATTGCAAAAATTGCAAAATGGTAAAGAATTTTTCGCCTTAGTTTAGTCCGCTCTATCTACATAAAAGATTGGCAAAAACTTTCGAGACACCCTGTACATTATGTACAATGTATAATATTTACAACATAATAGATCTTCAAAAAATGAAGGGGAGATGTATACTACAAAAAAAAGAGATAAGATTACATATTAGAAGCTTTGCGAGAGAAATCATTTTTTCATGTTATTTTGTTACATGTCCACTTTCTGTGCTGTTCAGAAAAGAGAGAGAGAGAGAGAGAGAGAGAGTCTCAGAGTGAATCAATTAAAATATTTCTTTGTGCACGAGAATTAGCCTCCTGATTGATTCTTTAGCACATTTACAGAAATAGACTTACAGTTTTCTTGCTTTTTTTTCTCTTGATTACTATTATAATAATGTCCATCTTATGTGCCATAAATTTTCCAGAGAAATGATAATGGA